ATCCCTTACGAAATAAGGCAAGTCATTTATGTAAATCAAAAACAAGAAAGGACCAAGTATTGAGCCCTGCGGAACGCCCATCTTAATTTTCGATCCAGGGGATCTTTTGCCATTGATATCAACCCTCTGTACTCTGTCAGTCAAGTATGAGACAATAAAATCCAATGAGTTATCTCTAAATCCATAAAAATGCAGTTTCCTAATCAATGTTTCATGAAAAACACAATCAAATGCCTTAGATAGGTCACAGAAAACACCTAACGCATCATGTGAATCCTCCCAGGCATTAAAAATTTCTTGTATTAACTCGACACCGGCTTCGGTTGTCGAGCGACCCCTTGTAAAACCAAATTGTTGTCGATTCATAAGCTTATTCTTGTAAAAGTACGTTTGTATTTGATCCAGCATGATTTTTTCAAAAATCTTACTAAACGTAGGTAGCACGGATATAGGTCTAAAGTTAGTAGGGTCAGATGTGCTACCCGATTTATGTAAAGGAATAATTTTACTATATTTCATGAGCTCAGGAAAAATACCACAATCAGTACATTCATTAAATATATAAGCTAAGATTGGAGCTATTGTCTCAATTACCGATTTAGAAACTTCAATGGAATTACCCCATAAATCAGCAGTTTTCGTTTTCTTTAGCTGATTAAAAGATTTTATTATATCTTTAAAATCAATGTGTTGAAACTTAAATTGGCTATTAGAATTATTTAAACTTGCCTTTAAAATAGATTCAGCAACAGTGGAAGAGGAATTCAAAGATTGTGTAATTAAGACTGGAATTTCAGTAAATAAATTTTCAAATACTGTAGCAACTTCAAGATCTGATGTTACTTTTTTATTATCAATGTTTAAATTAAAATTTATATTCCGGGATTTTTCTCTTCCAGTTTCACTATTTATGATATTCCACGTCATTTTAACTTTGTCTTTACTATTTTCAATTTTTGCATTTAAATAATTACATTTGGCTAAACGACACACTTTTTTAAATAATTTAGAGTAATTTCGTACATATTCTTTGAAGTCCTCACTTGTGTTATAATTACGTTCATCATATAGTTCATAGAGCCTTTTTCTGCTTTTGTAGATTCCTGGTGTAGCCCACACACTAAAAGTTATAGGATTACTAATACTTATTTTTTTTGGGACAAAAATCTTATTGAATTCTGTACAATAAACATCAAAGAAATCTTTGTACAAATCATTGGGATTACTATTATGTTTCAAATGATACAATTTACTATCTAATTGATTTTTAAAACGTTCCAAGCGACTCATACTTTTTGACACAACTGTAATGTCTCTCCTAGCCACAAACGTACATTTATGCGGAAAGCTAACTAGTTGTCCAAAATGATCTGACGGTAGTTGTTTAATTATCTGTCTTGAAAGTGGTACTAGATCTGTAAAAATGTTGTCAATACATGTGGACGAAGTAGCAGTTACTCTAGTAGGCTCCTTAAACATGTGCGCAAGATTATAGGACATAAATAGATTTACAAGTCTTGTACATGAATTGGAGTTTCCTAATAAATCAACGTTAAAATCACCCCCAATCACTAATCGTTTGCCTTTGCTATATACCTTTTTTAATGCTTCATCCATAACAGTTTCAAAAAGATCATAATGAGAAACTAAACTTGAAGGAGGTCTTTATACGCTCAGTACAATCGGCTGATCCAGCTCTATGCAGCAATCTCTATTATTTCCTCAACTGATAAGCTCACTATATCTTTACGTTCTTTAAATTTAAACTTTTTATTTAATAAAATTAGTGCGCCACCACGCATTGCGTTTTCCTAATGAACGCGCTACCAACCAGGTGATTATTGAAGTTAAAAATGCAATTGTAACTTGTTAGCCAATGTTCCGTAACACAGAAAATATCAATATTGTTACAGTTCATGAATAATTCTACTTCTAACTCTTTACTCAACATTCCTTGAACATTTTGGTGCACTAGGTTGATGACTGATAAATTCTTGGTTCCATTATTACTTTGACTATTCAATAGCAAGCAAGAGGAATCCTCTGTTGTCTTAATATCTAATTTAAAGACGAATTTGTCGCAATGTCAGTAAGATTATTACTGACAGTCATGTCAATAAAAGAGTGCTCAATAGGAGCAATCTGGTTAGCCAAATTTTTGGCTGTTATAGAAAAAAAATATCTGTAGCGAAATAGCTTTTGTCTCTTATAATAATTGGAAAGATAATATTTATCTTTAGTCAAGTAAAATTTTCTAACATACTTGTTAGTGTCAATGACATGAAACTTTGCAGTATTGCATATAGTGTGCAATGTCATATTCAGTTTGTATCGCAAATTATTTTCTTCACTGGACAAACTATTGCAATACGGCAACGTAAAAATCACGACTTTTCCAACACTTAATGAATTTAATTCGTTTATATATTTCAATAATTTATGTTTGTTAAAAGTACCTCTATTGCCAATAAAAAACAATAAAGTGGTATTTTCGCTGTAGTTTTGTTTAATTGCTTTTTCCAAAATATCACTAAAAGAGGAATTAGGCATACAGAAGTTTAATGTTGAATGGCCCTTATCGAATAGCAGACGGCCCATGTTTATGCCAATTTCATTACTGAACATTAAAATATTATTTTTAAAATTTTGTGAATTTATTGAGTGACGTTGGGAAAATTGTGATGGAGAGCAGTCATCAGTAACAGATGACTGCACAGGTATCTGAGTAAACAGTTGTGAATATTATTATTGTTATTGTTACTTAAGCTGTTATTTGTTTTGTTAATTAATCGTTTATTATTTAACAGTGAATGGTAACGGTCAGCATTGTAATTGCATAGGTTAACCAACTCTGTGGCAGACCTAATATGCTCATCAATCTGAGACTGTGCAACTAAATATTTATTTTGTGTTAATTCATGTAATTTTTTTATTTTAGATTGCAATTTTTTTGTATCCCGGTCATACATCTGCCGACTTTCACATAATTTATCGCTATATATTTCCAAAGAATCCATTAGACTACTGCGTTGTTTCCTCAAGGCAATCTATATATATAAAAGAAAGTCGGCTTTGTTACAACACTTATAACTCGAGATCTGCTGGACCAATTTTCATGGTTTTTGATTTGTTGGATTTGTCTCCGCCCCGAATAGCAGAATACATCATATAAAAATAATGAAAAATTGACGAATACTTGAAAAATGCGTTATTTTCCCTAAAAGTTGTTTAGTTTCGGAGCTGTCAATTTTTTTTGTCAAAATCTGTAAGTAATGATTGACATTTATGCATGCGTTCATAAACTACTTAAAATGGATGAATAAACTATTATGTGTATTGTTTTTTTAAAAAGATTGAAAAATATTACGCGTGCGTTCAGAAATGTGTAATGAATACTCAATCATTTCAAGAAATTTTTGAACTCCTTGGATGTACCTGGTTTACCACCGCACAATTTACAACTGAAGGTTGGCTCGGTAGTCATCATGCTTAGAAATTTAAACCAACCAAAACTGTGCAATGGAACGCGTTTGGTGATAAGAAAACTGATGAGCAATGTGATTCACGCGTCGATACTTAAAGGAAAATTTAAAGATGAGGAAGTTCTTATTCCAAGGATTCCGATGATCCCAACAGATATGCCCTTTGAGTTTAAACGAATTCAATTCCCGATTCGTCTTGCTTTCGCCATGACGATCAACAAATCATAGGGCCAATCCTTGACTATTTGTGGCCTCAATTTAGAAAATGAGTGTTTTTCTCATGGTCAGACATGTGTTTAAAATACTTAATTATTATTTATTTTTTTTATTTTTATTCTCATTCTGTATGTATTCATCATCATTCATCATAATAAAATACTTTTGTATGCTAAAAGGTAACACGACATTCTTTAACTGTTAGGCGGTACGAAGTTCTCCGGGTCAGTTAGTTTTGTATTAAAATATAATCATTATGTATCATTTTATTGTACATTAATATTCATTTTCATATTTATTATTTAAAAATGTTTTGTGTAGTTAGAATTCACTGTAACAAAGCAAATTGTGATCTAATTTGTGATTGGATAACCAATTAAGAGCCAATTTTAATTAATAATGGAAAGTATTAAACATTTAAATTTAGTTTAATGGCTTTTAAATATCGACGGTGGAATGAAAAAAGTTACCAAGCGACATTAGGGGCCAAAATGAGTTTTTTATATATTCAGAATCAGCGAATTTTTCTCTATCGATTAGTCTTAGTCCCATGTCTCTACGAACACTTTTGATGTCGCTTAGGAACTCCATAACAACGGGTATTTTTCTTGTTTACGGCGACCAAGCGACAACATTTTGACACGTTTTAAAAAACTAGGTATTTGGTGATATCTACTTGATATTTTTTTTCACTTGGTAATTTTAGCATTTACACAATTTTAATTCACTCTACAGTAAGTAATTTCTGCCTGTCCACTGTTAATATCAAATTGGTACTCGGGAATTTTTACCTGAAATACATTTATTTATTTATGGTATTTTTGACTCTTTTACAAATCTTTGAGATGTTTTTTCTGTCGTTTAGTAATTTTTGACAAACCGTAGTCATATCGAAGATCAATATAGTCACTTTTACTTGCCGAAAATAGGATAATATATGGCGCTTGGTACCTTTTTACCTGCCGTTTTATTCGTGAATTGTGTTACTTGGACACTTATTACTGAAAAAAATATTTGATTTTAATGTATTTAGTTCAAACAAACACTTGACGCGTTGTCGCTTGTCCGCGCTGAGAATCATACCTAGTATGGTGAATGGTAACGGTTTTATCGATCAGTCGTCTTTCCATTGTCGCTAAGGACCTTAGGACTTCAGACGGTTCTTCTATCAGAAGGTTCCTTAGGACTGTCTTGTGTGACACGACACTTTGTATGTATTGAAAGTATTATCTTCAAGCTAATTTGTGTTTCTGTTTATTTGAGTGATAGATTTTTTAAACATAAATAATCTTTTAGTTTAACATGAATCGCATTCGGCGAGTAGATGACATAAATGGCCGAGTTTTATTAATTTCTGGTGTTGAAAGTAACGATTCAGCATCGGTAAGTTATATTAATATAATATTTAAATTTTATTTACTTACCTAATTTATGTAATAAATAAATGTACCTAATTTAATAAGTAGTTACGCGGTGACATCTTATGTTTTATATTTTATAGACAATTTTGTTGAGCCAGAGCCGGTAAAGTTCTTTTTTTGTTTTATTGTTTGGATGTCTCATTTTTTCAATTTGCTTTGAACTCTAGGTCAAATTTATTTGGTGACAGGTAAATTATTACTAACACTTACATAATTTGATATGTTGAATAGGAAACTTTGCTTCTTATAATAATACAATTTTAAGAAAGCTAGACTTCTTTGCTTGTTCAATTCAAAAAATAATTCCCTGTTTGTCCCTTTTCGCTTCAAACCTTTTGAAAATAAATAATAATTTGGACATCTTTGCCAGCTTGAAAGATAAAATATTTTTGTAGGTTGGTAACTTTTACCTGCTTCTTATTTCAGGTAAATTGTAACCAAACGCCTCTTCGTTGCAAAATATTCAGAAATATTTCTTTGTAATATATTACTAATAAAGCTAATTTAAAATAATTTAAAAATCTATTGGATTTTTAAAAATACCTATAATAGTTAATTTTCTACGATTTTTTTTATAAAAAATAAATCTTTAGACGGCTCTGTTGTAAAATTTGCAATATGGCGCTTGGTAACTCTTTACATTCCACCGTCGATATGTTTTAGCATCATATAGTATTAATACTATTAAGCGAATATTTGTTTAAACTAATTAAATTGAGATTTGAATTTTTGTTTTGATAAAATGGCGGTAAAGTGGAATGGATGTCGGAATGGGAGAGGGATAGCTATAAAAAGGCCAATCCATCTCTTGTCACGGCATTATTATTTTGGTGTTCCTCGGGTGTACTTGCTGCAGTTAAGTAGACAATTTTATAAAAAACAATTCTGCTCATTCAAGCAAGCGCGGGTAAACGGCGGGAGTAACTATGACTCTCTTAAGTGGTGAGATGGTGACCACAAGTGGGTTTGGTGGTGCCCACTAGAGCCAAATAGTTGAGAGTAGGACACGAACGTAACCTGTGAGAGAGGAGTGTAAGGGTGTCTTCTCTTCTTGGCAGACCTAACGGTCGCGAGTTGTTCGTAGTTGCTTCCGATTCACAAAGACGTGCCGTTCACACGTGGTTGCAGTGTTGGATGGGCGAACGCGTCCAGTGAGTCCTCAAAGGGGCTGAGCACCAGTGGCAGATGTAAAACCCAACTCCTACCCTTATCCTGCTCGTGCCGTCGCTGATTTCGCCAATAAGGGGGGGGGGGGGGAACGCATCGGATCTAAATGCGGGGTCTGAGGCAGCTTTGCAGATCCTGAAGTTGGCACGTCTCTCAGATGCGATCCCTATATGCAAAGAGGCGGCAGCGCAAGTCATCAATTCCTACGCCGCGAATCATGCTAGCGAGAGGGTCTTTGACTGGCTCGTGGGCAGATTGGCGACGGAGGCGTAGGTAGACGAAACCCTCACCCGTGTGGTGCGCAGTGTCTCGAGAGCTTGGAGACACCAAGGAGGGATGGCTCGGAGGTGGTGCTCCGAGTAGCCCCATGCCTGTATCCACTCGTGGGTACAGGAAGTTCACGGTTCGCTTCGGCTGGGGCGTACGAGAACCGTGGGCGAGGTCCAGGGTGGGGCTTGCACCCTCAGTCACGGACAGTTTTAGTTCGCGCACTTGACGATTATGAGAATAGAATCGGCAACTCCGGTCTTCCACAGGAGCCGGATGCGTCGAATAAAACTCGTCGGGACGTTCGACGTCCCGTTCGCCCCCGGGGGGGGTCGTCATCCGAGTGGCCATGCGCGCTGTGCGGGCGGGCTTTTGGAACGAAAACTGGCTTGGGTGTGCATACTAGGCGCGCCCATCCAGTGGAGGCTAATGCGCAATGCGCTCCTCCACAGCTAAAGCGTAGGTGGCTTGAGGAAGAACTCAAGCTGCTGGCGGCTGCGGAATCCAGGCTGTTATTTGCCGGGGAGAAGTGCACGAATGTTGCCCTCGTAAATGCACTGCCTCAACTCGGGCGTACGCTCGAGGCGGTGAAGGGCGTGCGGAGGAAGGACACCTACAAGTCTGAGGTGTCCATTGAATTGGAGCGACTCCGCACGTGTGACGGCGGAGGTGTTGGTGGTAGCCACGCCGTCACCGAAGAGGGTAACAGCACGGAGAGCAGGGGGTCCCCGGTAGTGCAGCGGGGGCGGAGGCAGCGTCAGCGGCGGGGATCTGAAGGCGAGCCGCTGAACGCTAATACTGGATTGGACACGGCGGAGGGTCTTAACAGTCCGGATTGTCTCCGTATCGTAGACGCCCTTCTAGCGAGGGCGGAAGCGAGGATGACGAAAAGGGCCATGACGAGACCTGATGACGCCCAAGGAAGCCGGCGCAGCTGGCGTAGCAAGGACGGAAAGTCTAGCAAAAATGCTGCCAAGACTGAAAAGAAGTTGTCGAGCAGACAACGACGGAGGGCTGAGTACGCGAGAGTGCAGGATCTATGGCGGAAATGTCGGAGCCGTGCAGCAGCTGAGGTGATCGATGGTCACTGCAGGGGGTCGAAGCACTCGATCGAGGAGTTGGACGCCTACTGGCGTCCGATACTTGAGAAGGTGTCTGACGCCCCCGGACCCAGCCCGGTCGCTCAGCGAGCCGCAAGGCAAGTAGAGCAGGAGGGAGGGTCGCAGGACATGAGTCAGCTCTGGGCGCCGTTTACCGCCGACGAGGTGAAAACGGTCCGGCTCGACGCGCGCACCGCACCAGGCCCGGACGGGATTCGTCTGGAGGACTGGAGAGCAGTTCCTGCACAGTCGAAAGCGGAAACGTTCAACGCGTGGATGACCGAGGGGGAAATACCCGAGAGACTGCGACAGTGCCGCACGGTTTTCCTGCCGAAGGTAGAGGTGCCTGTGAGCCCCGGCGACTACCGACCGATTTCTATCGCGTCGGTGCCGTTGCGTCACATGCACGCACTTTTGGCAAGAAGACTGGTGGCGTGTAGCCCCCCAGACGTACGACAGCGCGGATTTATCCGTGCCGACGGCACCTTGGAGAATTCCATGGTGCTGGACGCTGTACTGGGGGATAGCAGGAGGAAGTTGCGGGAATGCCATGTGGCGGTCCTAGACTTCTCTAAGGCGTTCGACACGGTGTCCCACGGGGCACTGATCGAACTACTTACTGCAAGGGGTCTGCCGCCGGCGTTCTGCAATTATGTGTCGAGGTTGTACGAAACGGCGACCACAGAGTTTGCCGTGCCTGGACAACCGAGACAGATAGCGCCTGTGAAGGTCCGTAGGGGAGTCCGTCAAGGAGACCCATTATCGCCGGTGCTGTTTAACATCGCCATGGACGTGGTTCTGGCCAATCTTCCGAGCGAGGTAGGCTATAGGCTAGATGGAGAGCGTATCTCGGCTCTAGCCTACGCCGATGACTTCATCCTGTTCGCAGGATCCAAGATTGGCCTTCAGACGTCCATTGATGCGGTGTTCGCTACCGGTAGTACAATGGGTCTTCAGCTCAACCACGCTAAGTGCTCCTTATTGTCTATGGTGCCGGATGGAAAGCGCAAGAAGCCGCACTATCCCACCGACCGGTGTTTCCGCATCGGCCGGCGTTGGCTTAGGCAGGTGGACTGCGCTGAAAAATGGCGCTACCTCGGCGTTGACTTTCAGTCTCCTGGATGCGTCACGTTAGAGCATGAAATCAAAGGAGCCTTGAATAACATCACAAAAGCCCCCCTCAAACCACAGCAACGGCTGGAGGTCTTGAGGACGCACTTGTTGCCTCGTTACTACCACGCCTTGGTGCTTGGTACGATAACGGACGACAAGTTGCGCATGCTCGACGTGCAAATCCGGAATGCAGTGAGGAAGTGGTTGAGGCTCCCTGGCGACGTCCCTATCGCCTACTTCCACGCAGCGACCAGGGATGGCGGGCTTGGGATCCCCTCGATGAGGGCGGCGATACCGGATCTCATCTCTCGGAGATTCGGGCGGCTTGCTAACTCGAAGTGGGGTCCGGCGATAGCCGCATCCAGATCCAGTAGGATCAAGCGGAAGCTGCAGTGGGCGAAGAGACAGTTGCGGAAATTCACTACGCAACAACCTGGGAATCCCAGCGAGAGAGAGACACAAGGATACTGGCGTGAAGCCCTGCACGGCTCGGTGGATGGACTCGAGTTACGCGAGTCCAGTTCATGCCCTGCATCCACTAAGTGGATCAGGGAGAGAGCTATGCAGCACACGGGCCGTGACTTCGTGCAGTTCGTGCATTGTCATATCAACGCGCTCCCTTCGCGCGTGCGCAATTCTAGGGGGCGCAGGGGTGGTGGAGTTGAGTTAAACTGCCGTGCGGGCTGCACGGTCAGGGAGACGACTGCTCACACCATCCAACAATGTCACAGAACACACGGGGCCCGTATTGAACGCCATGACTTCGTGGTCAACTATCTCGCTGGTTGTATGACCGAAAAGGGTTGGAACGTGGTGCGGGAGCCACGGATAGCTACCTCTGCTGGGCTCAGGAAGCCTGACATCATTGCCTCCAAGGACGGCGTCGGTGTGATCGTTGACGCACAGGTCGTCTCGAGTCAGCGACCGCTAGACAATGCTCATCATGAGAAACGACGTAAGTACGGTTCTCATGCTGAGCTTGTACAGCTGGTGGCTGACAAACTGGGACTTCCCGGAACTGAGTGTGTCACGACCACCACTTGGACGATCTCTTGGAGGGGGGTGTGGAGCCCTCAGTCATATTCTGACTTGAGGTCGATCCTTCGGCTGAAAAGTCATTGCTACGAGCAGTTGTCCTCGATGGTCCTAAGAGGCAGCCACATGGCATGGGGATGGTTTAATCGGATGACGACCCATCGCTAGGGGAGAGCGGACGGGACGGGGATCGCCCCGACCTTGTCTGTGGAACTGGGCCACCTGCCGAGGCCCATTGGTTCCCGCGCAGCAGTCAGTGGCGCTTGCGTCGCTGCATCTTCGTGCGGTTACCCGACCATCTGGGACCCCGTTGATTTTATCGGCACAATGGCCAGCTGGCGGGATACGCAGATCAGGGGCAGTCGCATGACGGGTAACACCGACCTGCCTCTGCATGGGCTTGAACCGGACGTCTGCGTATCCCGTTATTTCCATAATGATTACAACTGGTCACGCTCACGAGGCATGTCTCAGCTGACATTCAAATAGCCAAATGCCTCGTTAATTGGTGACGCGCATGAATGGATCAACGAGATTCCCACTGTCCCTATCTACTTCAGTGTCGACCGCCGCAGCGTGCACACGTATCCGAAGTTCTCCGCGTTTTATTACGTTATGTCGCTCTTTTAGTAATCGCTTTCTTTTTGTGATTGCTATTATTGCTTTAATTATTTTCGCTAATTACCTCTTGCTTTGTGTGTTTGTTTGGTATGGTGTTCAAACAGTGCAAATAAGACGCTTAAACAACGTATTGTGTTATAGTGAACAGTGAAACAGCGAAAACGGACGCATTACCCGTAGGGAGTACTTAGTTTTAATTTATAGGCAACGAACATTCTTTGTTTTTGTTCCCGTATTTGTTAATTATAAGTTGCTAATTGGCGTAGAACTATTGATTATTTGTTCATAACCTCATTTTTAGGTTAGGCAGGCATTTTTAGGTGACGTTGACGTTTGACGTTGTCATATTGACTTTGACAGGTGACATCTGTCGAAAGTGTTATTAGTGCTGCTTTATATGTTTTTAGGACCTATAAAAATTTGTGGACTTAGAAAATTTTTCACCTATATATGGGTGGAGTTCTTTGATACCCGCTCCGCCAAAGTAATTTGTCTTACTTTTGTTGACTTTTGTTGTTTTAATTATTGTGTTCTGTAGATATTAATAAGTGTTTAGTAAATATAGTAGGAAGAGACCTCGATTTGCAGTAGTTTGTAGTAGATTTTAGTAGTAAATATTTTTTATGTAGTTAGATCAGTAAACTTTTAGGATGAGTAGTTCGGAGGGAGGGGGGAGGCCCCCTCCAACTGTATTTAGACTAAAGACGTCACTACGTAGAACACCACCAGGAGTGACGATGGCGGCAACCGTAACACCGAGCCCCCCGCAGAGGTCGTTAGTGGCCCCAGCTGCGGACATCAGTGCGGCAGTGTACGAGGCAGTTGTGGCTACCGAGTCACCGGGCAGGTCAACACCGGCCGTTCAGCCATTGACTACTCCGCAAGCGTCGCAGCCAGGTGGGACAGCAAAGAGGGTGCTGTCACCCGACGAGTGGACTGCCGTCGCCTCAAGATCGAAGAGGAGGTTTAACCCGAGGGTGGGTGGGATATCGACTCCTCTGACTACCGCACTCCGTGCTCCAGCGGGGACGAACTTGAATCTGAGTTGGAGGATTTCTCTCGCGCGACGTCTCGTCAACTACTATCACGGGCGAATGAGACCGCTAGGGTTATTTCAGGAGTGGTGGGGGGACCCACTTCTAAACTTAATGAGGCCGATATAGCCATGATCAATTCACAACTAGGAAGGCTTATGGAGGTGGTAGCTCATTTGGGCTTGATTGCGGAGACAGGCAGGCAGGAAATTGGCAAGACCCACTCCAAAGCGGAGGCTACAACATTAGCCTGGGAACGGGAATGTGCCCGGGTTGCGAAGGTTGAAGCGGAGGCGAAGGCGGCCAGGGCGGTGGCTTTGGCAGCCACCACGAGGGCTTCGGAGACTGCGGCTGCAGCACGTCCCATCAGCTCTGGACCGGAGGGAGTTTCCTACGCGGACAAGGCGAAAAAAGGAGGACCGACGATTACACTATAACCGGCAGAGGGGAGTTCATTAAAGACCTCGGAGGAGACGAAGAAGGTCTTAAAGACCTCAATAGTCCCCGCCTCATTACAAATAAAAGTAGACAGACTTCGCAGAGTCGGGAATGGGGGAATTATAGTGCAGACGCACTCAATCGATGATCTGAAGAAACTTAAGGCGGCAATCCCTGACACATTAAAGATGAATGAGGTCAAAGGCAGGTCACCACTAGTAGTGATAAGGGACCTGGAGGGGAGGGATCCAGATCTTGGGGACGTACTGCAAGCTGTACATATACAGAATTTCGCTGACAACAACGAGTGGCCCCTTACGAGGATAAAAGCAGAGAGCAGACTGGCGTTTAGGAAGAGCCGGCAAGGTTCAGACAGATCCGCAATGGTTATTGCGTGTTCGCCAGCGCTAGGTAAAGTACTAGTGGAGAAAAGCCGACTTTACGTGGGGTAGGAATGTTGCCGGGTCGAGAACTTCACAGCGGCAGTATGCTGTAATAAATGCCATATGTATGGCCATAACGAGAAGCGGTGCCGACAAGAAAAATTCACCTGCGGTAGATGTGGCAGTTACACACACAAAGTCGAAAAATGCAATGCGGAAAAACCAATATACGTTATGTGCCAAAGATTTGGCCAAAAAGGGGCGGACACCCATATTACGGATGCACGCGGATGCCCAGCATGCATACACGCAGGGATACGCATGGTAGACTCAACTAATCACTAATGGCTCCGTCAAAATGTACAGTCTGCCAGGTAAACTTCGGCGGGGGCGAGCTTGCCACGATGAAGCTACTCCTAGTAGCTGAAGAAATGGGTCTAGACGTCGTTCTGACTCAGGAACATTAACCAGGCATTCATCAGGACAGGACATTCATTGGAACGGCAAGTTTATTTTTATTTCTTGTGTTAAGATTATGAACACTTCCTTTTTTTGTGAAGGAATCGTAATGTTTTCTTGCGTACATAATATTTTCATAGATGTATTGAGAGGCAACAGTCAAAATATTTATTTCTTCAAAATATTTCTCTGAGAAATTATCTAGACCGTAAATCATATATAGCGCGGACAGCTCTCTTTTGTAAAATAAAAATATCTTGAATACTAGCCGCAGAACCCCACAACAATAGGCCATACGTCATTACACTATGAAAATAACTAAAATATACCAATCTTGCTGTTTCAACATTTGTCAAGAGTCTAATTTTCTTAACAGCAAATGCTGCAGAACTCAGTCTACTTGACAAATTATCAATATGAGGATCCCATTGCAGTTGGGAATCTAGTGTAATACCACGGAATTTTGACGATTCCAACTCAACTTTTTCACTATTTACATTTATAAGTGTATTAACAAGCCTCACATTAGGTAATGCAAACTTTATGCATTTTGTTTTATTTGAATTAAGCTTTAAATTATTACTGTCGGACATTGTCGAGAGCATCATTTACATCGTCAAAACAATCATTACCCCTCTTAACTTTAAACACTAAAGAGGTGTCATCAGCAAATAATACTGTCTCGCACAAATTCTTTGTAAAGTGAGGAAGATCATTAATGTAAATTAGAAAAACAATGGTCCTAATATCGATACCTGAAGAACGCCCATAGTAATGGGTGCCCCTGTAGATTTCGCTTCATTAATTACTACTTTTTGAATTCTAGCAGAAAGATATGATTTTATTAGATTAAGTGAATTTTTCGTCACACCATAATGCTCTAATTTCTCGAACAGTGTTTCATGACTAACGCAGTTGAATGCTTTGGACAGATCGAAAAAATGCCGATAGCATCTTGTTTATTATTCCAAGCATCATAGATATGAGCGGCATTTTACCAAGTGAAAAATGACACGGTAGTGCTCGCAAAATTAAAAGACAATGTGCCGAAAAGGTGCAAGACTCTGTTTGGAGAGGAACGGTATGTACTTTGAACAATTATTAAAGTTTACGTAGGTAAATAGTTAAAGTAGGTAGGTAAATTCATTAGTTGATTATGTACATAAAGTTGATGATTTTTTTAAATACGCCTGATTGCAAAAGAATAGCGAGTTAAGTACCTACTTTGAATTGGTTTAACTAAACAGAATTTTAGGTAACTCGATGTTTACTTACCTACTTACTTTATAAATTTAAAGCAGTATAGCTATTGTAATAGTGGGTATCTAATAGGATTTATGCAATTTGACGGTCCTAAGCCCGTAAAATTATGAAGAGGTTTCAACTTTATTTACCATTTCCCCAAGCATGACAAAACGAAAACATTTTAGGTAGCTGCTATTATTACTATAAATGAATTGCGGTAAGGGAGGGAGGGGTAAGTGTAACGTAGCGCGTAAAGCGCACGTACTGGGCAGCGAGAGCGTCCACAAATGTAGGTTTTTTGAAAATAAGTAGCGAATTCCACAGCTTCGCAGTTCGTACGATAAATGTAGAGGCGAATCGCTTGGTGCGAGTTTGTGGAATCTCTATAGTAAAGCGGTGACGCGGTACAAATAATAATCCTTCTATACCTAATGTGTGTGATCCATGGTATATTAAACTATTTTCCAGTTGTCAGGTGCCTCCTACATCTTGTGCTAATTATAAAATAACCAATAATAAACTGTACCGTTTCATGAAAAGTCTGAACCCATGAAGCTGAAACTAGCAGCTACGCGGTGATCAAGGCCAGGGACGACACGCGGAGTGGGGCCCGCGCCCCCGATAAAATTTTAAAGTATGAATAACTACTTACAAAGTGGATAATAAATAGAAGATGAGCATAAAAAATTATAAACAAAAGAGACCCATTCATCTCCAAATTTATGCAACAAATTTTATTCAAAGACATGGTTTTGAGATGTAAAAAGTCATAACTTTGTTCCTTACCATCAGATATTAATAAAATTTAATCCAGAACTATGTTATGATGCAATTATAGTATTGACAAAGTTACAAAAGGGATACTCGATTCCTTCCATTTTTTCTGATAATTTTTATTAATTAAAAGCCACTTTTGACCATGAAATAAGTCATAACTTTGTTCCTTACCATCAGATATCAATAAAATTCAATTCAGAACTATGTTATGATGCAACTATAGTGTTGACAAAGTTACAAAAGGGATACTCGATTCCTTCCATTTTTTCTGATAATTTTTATTAATTAAAAGCCACTTTTGACCATGAAAAAAGTCATAACTTTATTCCTTACCATCAGATATTAATAAAATTTAATCCGGAACTATGTTATGATGCAATTATAGTGTTGACAAAGTTACAAAAGGGATACTCGATTCCTTCCATTTTTTCTGATAATTTTTATTAATTAAAAGCCATTTTTGACCATGAAAAAAGTCATAACTTTGTTCCTTACCATCAGATATTAATAAAATTTAATCCAGAACTATGTTATGATGCAATTATAGTCTTGACAAAGTTACAAAAGGGATACTGGATTCCTTCCATTTTTTCTGATAATTTTCATTAATAAAAAGACACTTTTGACCATGAAAAAAGTCATAACTTTGTTCCTTACCATCAGATATTAATAAAATTTAATCCAGAACTATGTTATGATGCAATTATAGTATTGATAAAGTTACAAAAGGGATACTCGATTCCTTCCATTTTTTCTGATAATTTTTATTAATTAAAAGCCACTTTTGACCATGAAAAAAGTCATAACTTTATTCCTTACCATCAGATATTAATAAAATTTAATCCGGAACTATGTTATGATGCAATTATAGTGTTGACAAAGTTACAAAAGGGATACTCGATTCCTTCCATTTTTTCTGATAATTTTTATTAATTAAAAGCCATTTTTGACCATGAAAAAAGTCATAACTTTGTTCCTTACCATCAGATATTAATAAAATTTAATCCAGAACTATGTTATGATGCAATTATAGTCTTGACAAAGTTACAAAAGGGATACTGGATTCCTTCCATTTTTTCTGATAATTTTCATTAATAAAAAGACACTTTTGACCATGAAAAAAGTCATAACTTTGTTCCTTACCATCAGATATTAATAAAATTTAATCCAGAACTATGTTATGATGCAATTATAGTATTGACAAAGTTACAAAAGGGATACTCGATTCCTTCCATTTTTTCTGATAATTTTCATTAATAAAAAGACACTTGACCATGAAAAAAGTCATAACTTTGTTCCTTACCATCAGATATTAATAAAATTTAATCCAGAACTATGTTATGATGCAACTATAGTGTTGACAAAGTTACAAAAGGGATACTCGATTCCTTCCATTTTTTCTGATAATTTTTATTAATTAAAAGCCATTTTTGACCATGAAAAAAGTCATAACTTTGTTCCTTACCATCAGATATTAATAAAATTTAATCCAGAACTATGTTATTATGCAATTATAGTCTTGACAAAGTTACAAAAGGGATACTGGATTCCTTCCATTTTTTCTGATAATTTTCATTAATAAAAAGACACTTTTGACCATGAAAAAAGTCATAACCATCATATGAAAAAATTTGTTCCTTACCATCAGATATTAATAAAATTTAATCCAGAACTATGTTATGATGCAATTATAGTATTGACAAAGTTACAAAAGGGATACTCGATCCCTTCCATTTTTTCTGATAATTTTCATTAATAAAAAGACACTTTTGACCATGAAAAAAGTCATAACTTTGTTCCTTACCATCAGATATTATTTTTATTAATTAAAAAGCCACTTTTGACCATGAAAAAAGTCATAACTTTGTTTCTTACCGTCAGATATCAATAAAATTCAATTCAGAACTATGTTATGATGCAATACGAGTGATAACAAAGTTATAAAAGGGATACTCGATCACTTCCATTTTTTCTAATACTTTTTAGTAATTAAAAGCCACTTTTGACCATGAAAAAAGTCATAACTTTGTTCCTTACCATCAGATAGTAATAAAATTTGCTTCAGAACTATGTTATGATGCAAGAAGGAAGGGAGAAAGTTGGCACGAAGGAAACTCGTTTTTTTTTTGTTTTTTACTGCGATTTTTATTAACTACTCAATAGTTCTTATGAGTTTTTGGGTTGTAACCCCGTCGGTATAAGCTAGAAATCCATAAAATTTAGATAACAAAACCTTTTTTTCTTCATTCATCGATATTATAATATTTCGCTGCTGAAGTCTTTTTTGTATTTTTGTTTTACGAAAAAATAAAATTTTTTATCGGGGTTTTATCTATTTTTCTTTTTCTTTAGTATTTTTTATCCTTATTCTTTGTAGTATTATATATTTATGTTATTTTAATTTAGTTTGTAATTAATAATTGTCGGCAAGTTTGATGCAGTGTTGTTATTCCTCTTGTTGATGATGTAATCAAGAAATTCAAATATTAAATTATTTTTTTCTTGTCGTTGAGATGTTTGATGATTCAGAATACTGGAAAGATTTTCAATGTTGTTGTCAAATATGGTACTGTTCTGACTCGATGAAGGCAAGCGGCTTTGATTTTGTGCGTTTTTTTTCGATTTGGTTGATGCTCCTATTTTCATTCTTCTCTTGATGTTTTAATCTTTTTTGCTGTTTATATCTCCCTGAGTTTCTTCCACGTTTCGTTACTATAACAAAAAATATATTTTTTTATTACATGTGTATTTCATTGTGCTGATAACACAGAATATTATCTAGTTAAGTAAATTTGTACTCACATTGTTGGGACTGTTGGAGACTATTTTGTTGATGTCCTCGATATTGTAGAAACTGACGTTTTAATGGTTGTCTTGCTGGTACCCCTTGATTCGGACGATGTACATCTGCGTTCTGTATTTGGTTTTTATTATTAAATTTGGGATGATAATTTTTTTGTAGCTGTTGTTGACGTAGGTAATTGTTTGTCCGTAGTTGCTGGTGTTGTGGTTGAATGTAATTTTATTGATATCTATTGAAATCACGTGCATGTTGCTGCTCGGTGATGGCTCCTTGAATATTTCCATTATTATAGTATGGTAAATTCTGTTGTAGCTGTTGACGTGGATAATAGAGGATCGGCAATTGTTGGTGATTTTGTTGAGCGTAATTTTGTTGACTTTTTGTTGATTGCTGTTCCAAATTTCCATTTTTATTCAGATTTTGTTGTAGCTGTTTCTTTTTTTTTCTTGAGTGTTTTCTGGTTCTTCCGTTTGTAGCTCAATCTGTTCTGATTCTGCGAGTTGACTCTGCAAAGAGCTGATTTCCCTTCTTTTTCAGCAAACGACGATAGTTCAGAGACGACGATAGCGCCACACTTAACGTATTGTTATGTTGGTAAAATTGTAGTAATAATACGTCACGTGTATGAAAGAAATATTTTGTACACATTGATATAAAACATTACTAACGTTACATCGAACAATTACAATTGAACTTCAAACGAGTAGGTAAAATAAAATTGAGAATCATCATAAAGAAAATTTACCAGAAGATTAATTGAACAGATTCCTACAGGTATTATTATTTTTTATACTGTTTGAAGGAAACATTATGAATAGTATATTTTTTTTATTAACCCTAAAATATAATATGAATGTAATACAACAATAGAATATATTTGTATGAATTTTATTCCGTTGTAATATCAAGCAATTTAATTATAAGTAGCTAATTAGTCCTAGTAAGAAGGTCAACTTGTAGCGACTATTGCCTTGACATCAAGATTTATTAAGTTATAATAAAAACATATTTTTGAAACCTCAAATAACTTGGAAGACTGAACTTGCGAATCATAGTGACAAAGTCGGCTCTCAGCGACTATCACTTTGAACTATTCATAATCTATACACAAGTTTAAATATTTATTTTTGAAATATTAAACAATTTCATTATAAGTAGCTAATTAGTCCTAGTAAGAAGGTCAGCTTGTAGCGACTATTGCCTTGACATCAAGATTTATTAAATTATAATAAAAAGATATTTTTGAAACCTCAAATAACTTGGAAGACTGAACTTGCGAATCATAGTGACAAAGTCAGCTCTCAGCGACTATCACTTTGAACTATTCATAGTCTATACACAAGTTTAAGTATTTATTTTTGAGATATTAAGCAATTTAATTATAAGTAGCTAATTAGTCCTAGTAAGAAGGTCAGCTTTTAACGACTATTGCCTGGACATCAAGATTTATTAAGTTATAATAAAAGATATTATTGAAACCTTAAATAACTTGGAAGACTGAACTTGCCAATCATAGTGACAAAGTCAACTCTCAGCGACTATCACTTTGAACTATTCATAGTCTATACACAAATTTAAGTAATTATTTTTGAGATATTAAGCAATTTAATTATAAGTAGCTAATTAGTCCTAGTAAGAAGGTCAGCTCGTAGCGACTCCGGATTCCTTTTTCTGTTTGTTTTTCTTTTTTTTCACTATGATTTCGAAGATATTTTTCACTAATGAAGCTTTGGCAAACGCAATCACTGCTGAAATTGGTATGAGCAATTTTTTTTCCATTGCTCATCAGTTAAATGATTTACTTAAGTATTCTTACAAAAGTGAGCACGGTTTTTGGTCAAATATAGTAAAAAGAATATTTCCGTCAATACGATTACAGTCAACAATGCTTAAACGTCGAAGACAATGTTATTACAGGTTGAGAAAATATTTCAAACCAATTCAATCTATCATTTCTTCACAAATTTCTCCACGTTTGAACGGTTCATGTGTTGTACTCGAGAATTCAAATGAAAATGACAAAAACTCTCTCGATAATCAATTACTCTGTACTGAACCATTAACCGGTCCAAATCCAAACGAATTGTACTCTCCTTGTCTCACAATCAATCATAATAATAATGAAGATATTCCTGTATTTAATTCTAACGAATCGTTCAGCATTTCTAAAGATAACAGTTCTGTTAGTGATTGTAGAAACTGTTCCTTTAGCAAAACAAATGACGAAGAATTATCTGTTTTTTCAAAAAATTCGATGACTGTTGACCATATGCCTGTAATAAATAATGATGCGTTATCTAGTTTCACTGGAAGTAATAACTCTATTTATCAATGTGACAATTATCATTTATTATTAAATAAAAATCGCATAGAATTATCTTCCCCTGTTGTTCAAAAAAAATTAAATACAACTAATGACAATTTCGAGGAATTAAATATTTCTGCATACAATAAAATCGAAACGTCAATAAATAATATAGAGCCGCCAGAATTTTGCGTGAATAGATGTAGTTCAACAGAAAACGAAGTTAACACGGATCATAATGGAATTGCTAGTACACCTTTAATACTTTCTGCAATTTTTTGGAAAAAATATTGGACAGGAGGTATATCTTTAAAAAAAGGATGGACTGATGAATTTAATGACGAATTTAATAAAATTTATCAAGCATGTGTATTAAGTTTTAAATGGCATAAATGTAAAGAAATATCCAAAAAGAGTAACGTTTTTTTCCAAGCTGTTGCAAATTGTAAACACACGACTTGTGTTGATAACTTTACATTTATAAGCAATCAACCAATCAAGCCATTTCGAGACCTACAAATACAAGTTTTCCGTGATAAGCCCATCTACCACGACAACGAAGTTCATCGAAGATTTATAAAAGGCTGTCGACGTGAAATAATAAAGAAGGAGTTGAAAACTTTATGGCCAATTGAAAAGAAATTTTCAATGTTAAATGAGGTTACAGATGACATATTAGGTTCTGGTAATATGAATAATGCATTAACATTGTCACTTCTTCAAAAAATGTCTTCGGAAGAACGTTGGAGTTCTAAGCTTTCTAAAAAATTTACAGACGCGTTAGTACAATTAGAAGAAAAATTTGAACAAGAATGGAAAGGAAAATTTCTTAATAATTTTATTCAGAATGTTTCATTAAAACCATTCTTCGTAATTTTATTCACGGAAAAACAATTAAGAATTTTGTTAAACGAGAAAGACCGTACATTTTGTTATCTAGATGCAACCGGATCTTTAATCAAAAAACCGAAAGACGACTGTAAGCGCATATTTTATTATTCGTTGATATTGCGAGGTGACGAAAAAAACGAACGTAGTCCGTTTCCAGTAGCTGAATTTATAAGCGCAGCTCATTCTGTACCGTACATAACCTTTTTTTTAAGCACAGTATGCTTAGTACTGAAGAAACTATCTTCACGATCGCCAATTATTAACAAAATTGAGACTGATTTTAGTATGGCTTTATTACAAGCTACGTCACAGGCCGTTAATAAGTTAGCCTTGATAGAATACGTGAATACTATATTTAATAAATTTACCAGAATTCAGAGCATGACCATACTTCATATATGCTCGTCACATATGATTAAAACATTTTCACGAAAGATTAAAACGTTTGGGATCAAACGAAAATCAAAAGTATATGAAGTTTCAATGAGACTGGCTGCCAATCTTATCCATTGTCAGTCAAAAGAACAAGCAGGAGAAATATTTAAAACTGTTATAATGTTATTTTCAACATTTTTATGTAAAGAAAAACTTGCAGACTTTTTGGATAAAATAATGAGTGATGAAAGTTTTGATCACTCCCTTTTAGAGGATAAACACACAAATCAGAATATCGATGACGCCAGTGTAATTAATGTTAATGATTATGACTCTGACGAGGAAAACAAAGATTTCGAAAACAATTTCCAAAAAGATTCATTATATTATAAATATTTTGAGCAAATATATAACTCTATTTGTGATACTGCAGATAAAAAAGAGGAAATAAATGAATATTATTATCCTGAGATCGTCAAATATATATTAAATAAATGGTTACCATTATTTCCATTATGGTCTGCAGTTTTAATACAGCAATGCGATATCCTACGCGATAGTAATGCGGCAGTGGAGAACTGGCATAAAATAATGAAATCGTATATTTACGGTCGAGAACAAAACATGGCGATTCAACGATTTATACATCGTCAAGCCGAATTACTTACTGCAAGAATTCGTGATCGAAAATTTTCATTAAAGACAGAAAGACAAAAAAATAATGTTAAAAAACAAATTGATGAAAGATCTGAAGAAAAATGGAAGGGTAAAGAAACATCAAAAAGAGGAAAGAATTTCCACTTTTATCAGTCTCGACTGCCAAATAAAAAAATTAAACGCGATCTGAGTAAATACTCGCAGAATACCGAAAAAGTCCCTTCTCCTGAAAGTGATTCGGATTCATCAAATTCGAATAATGAAAGATCTACCTACTATGATAAAACACCAACTTCATCGAACAAAGACATGAACGATGCAATTGATAACAAGCCAGATTTACAGAAACAAAATATGAATGAAGATGTCGTTAAACTATCGAGTTCATTAGACCAAAAAATGAGTGTTAATTTTGATAATCAACCAATTTGTCAAAATGAAGAAATTAATAATAATAGTAAAAAACTGTTGATTCCACAAAATCATGAAATTAATGTGAAATTTAATCAATCGTTTGATTCGAAGCTACCACAAAATAATGAAGACGTGGATGAACTTAAAAATTATTTCTTCTCACCAAGTAATAACTATCCAGAAAATTTTCCTAACATCAGAAATAATGTTAACAAATATGTGATCGAACCAAACGATTTCTTCACTCTTCATAAACATAAATGGTTAAGTGATAATATTATTAACGGTTTTGCATCGATTTATGCCAATAAAGCTGTAAAAGAAAACAAAAATATAATGTTTGTGGACACACTATCAACATCGGGAATATTACATAGGAACGTAAGTCGAGGTTTCAATAAGTGGCTGGTAGATAACGAATTTGCCAAATACAATATCTGGTTACTACCATTTAATTTGAATGCAATGCATTGGGTACTAGTTGTTGTCGATTTTGAAAGACAAAACATTGTACTCATTGACTCGGCACACAATTGTTTGCAGCATGATGAGATAACTGCAATTCTTGAATGGTTGACCAGCACACACAAATATCAAAATACCAATAAAGACTGGAAGTTTTATGCTCCTAAAGATATTCCAAATCAAAGAGATGGATATAGTTGTGGAGTTCATGTATGTCTATGGATATATGTAATATGTACAGGAATTCCCTTATCATTTGACGAAATAGACGCAAGAAAAGCTCGTGCGAGAATCGCAACACATCTAGCAGAAACAACACAAGTAGAACCACGAATAAATCACGAAAGAATCACAGAAGAGATGTTGAAGAATATGATATACTCAACAGGAAAGGCGATTGCAATAAACATTCCAAAAGTAAATAATAACCAACCAGAAGGATTTGAGAGCACACTTGACTACTGCTCCAACATAGGCAAAAAATTGACGCAATGAACAACAATACAATAATAAATTACGACATTATTTTCTCTTAGTAATACACGAATTTAGATAACACACAAAGAAATTTTTTTAATAATGTATAATAGGAGGAAGAGGATAGCTATGAGGGGAAATGGAGGAGGCTATCAAATAAAAAAAGTATAAATAAAAAATTTATGAAGCTGAAAAAAGACAATAAAAATTTAAAAACGATGGAAGACGATGATGTTGGAATAAGAGCTAAAGTAAGCATTAGAATTTTGATAACGATTGCCACGTTCATAAAGAAAGAAAAAAACAAAAATATTCAATAAACTCAACAAAAAAGAAGAATATATATAATGACATTTTTAAAAGTAAGAGAATATCAAAAGAATATAAGTGCTTATTTCCTATTCAATTTGCATAATAAAAAAGTCCTAATAAAAATAAAACTGAAATCAGAAACACCACACTATAAAATTAACAAATA